GGATCTATTTGAAATCTGTTCCATTTAGCATAGTGATAGTGCCACACAACATGATTGAGGTTATTCTCAATGTAAAGGCAGGACTTCGTCTCACAAGGTGGCACGTTGACTCAGTGGTTAACACTGCTGCTTCACAGCGCCAGGGACCTGGGTTCATTTCCAGTCTTGGGCAACTGTCCATGTGGAGTTTGCAGATTCTCCCCAGGGGCTCCGGTTTCCTCCCATTGTCCAAAGATGTGTATGTTAGATGGATTGGCCATGCTAAATTGCTCTAAGTGTTCAGGGATGTGCAGGCTGGGTGGATTGGCCATGGGAAATGCAGGAATGGGGTGGGGGCATGGGTTTGGATGGATGCTCTTCGGAGTCTTGGTTGGTGTGGACCCGTTGGACTGGATGGCTTGTTTGCACACTGTAGGGGTTCGGTGGTCACTCTTGCTGATAGTGTCATGGAAGATGCACCTGCAGCTGGCAGATTTGTAAGGATGAGGTCAAGTATGTTTTTCCTTGTTGTTGGTTTCCTCACCATGTGCTGCAGGACCTGGTCTAGCAGCAATGTCTTTTAGGACCTGACCTGTTCAACCAGTAGTGCTGCTGCTGAGCCACTCTTGGTGGTAGATGTTGAAACCTCCAATTAGGAGTACACTTTGCAGCTTTGCCACCCTCAGTGGTTCCTCCAGGTGTTACTCAACATGGTGCAGTAATGATTCATCAGCGGAGGTGTGTAATAACCAGCAAGAGGTTTCATTGCCCATGTTGAACCTGAAACCATAAGATTTCATGGGGTTTGAAGTCAATGTTGAGGTCTCCAAGGGCAACTCCCTCCCCACGGTATACCACTGTACTGCCACCTCTACTGGGTCTGTCCTGCTGGTGGAACAGGACATATCCAGGGATGGTATTGGTGATGTCTGGGACATAGTCATACTCAAGCAGTCATCTCTTACAGACAGTATCAGGCTGCTGCTTGACTAGTCTGTGAGACAGTTCTCTCACTTTTGACATTAGTCCCACATGTTAATAATAAGGAAGTTGCATGGTCAATTGAGCTGTTTCTGCTGTTGTCTTTACTGGTGCCTAGGTTGATGCCAAGTGGTCTGTCGAGTTACATTTCTTTGTTGGGACTTTGTAGTGTTTGATACAACTGAGTAGCTTGCTTGGCTATTTAATAGGGCAGTTGAGAGTCAACTGCATTGCTGTGGTTCTAGAGTCATATGTAGGTCAGACCTGGTGAGGATAGCAGTTTTTTTTTCCCTGAAGGACATTGGTGAACCACATAGGTCTTTCCAACAATTGTTTATTGTCAGCCGTAGATTCTTAATTTCAGTTTTTTTTATTGAATTCAATTTCCACCACCTGCCGTAGTAGGATTCGAACCAGGGTCACCAGAACATTAGCTTAGGATTAATAGTCTAGTGATAATATCACTCGTCCCATCACCTCCCCGTGTGTAATTTCTTTGATTAACTGACAGGCTGAATGCAGAATGCCTCCCGTTTGTAAAACAAACTTTGTGTCGTCCTACCGAAACAACCGTAAGCTATACAAATCCTGCATTACCGACTATCTAATGCAAATTGACAGTGATTTTTGCAAGAAAATCTTTGTGATGAGTCTGCTTATTGGAATCATTTTCATTGTGATTTTCAATATAATGTTAACAGCTGAACAAAGAACCACTTGTTTTTAAAATACTGATTACATTTATAAGTTAATGAATGCTACTCTGACAACAGTGTTTGGACACCCTTATGATGGGGCATAGTGATTGTGATCAAGGGAGTCAATCTGATTTCCAGCAATTGGAAATCTCAGGACCTCTGAGCTTTCTGCACATTTTCCCATGGGATATAAATGCCATATGCAAGTTTAGCATTTTAAAAAGTAAGGCTAAACTCAGCATTTTCAAGTTGGTAGCCTATAACTAATGGAGTGCCACAAAGATCAATGTTGGAGCCTCAGCTATTTACAATCTGTATTGTTGATTCAGACACAGACAGAGAGCAATGCATCTAAATTTGCTAATGATACAAAACTAGGTAGGGATGCAAACGCTTGAGGGGGACAGAGAGGCTGCAAAGAAATATGAACAGTTTAAATGAGCAAGTAGTAAGGTAGCGGATAGAATATAAAATGGATAACTAAGGTTATTGGTCATAAGAATAGAACACCATTTTTTTTTTAAAAGGTGTGAAACTTGTTCAGAGAGATCTGGGTATACTTGTACAGGGAAAACAAGTTAGCATGTGCATACAGTAAGGAATTAAGAAGACTAGAGACATGTTGGCCTTAATTGCAAAGGAACTGGAACAGGAATAAAGAAGTTCTGCTGCAGTTACATAGGACTTGGCTGAGAGTACGCCTGGAATATGGTGCATAACTTGGGTCTCCATCTTTGAGGAAAGATATATTTACATTTGAGGCAGTACAATAAAGCTTTACTAGATTGGTCCCTGGAATATGCAGGCTGTCCTATCATGTGATATTGTGTAAACTGTGCATATAATCATAGTGTTTGGAATAATGCAAGGTGACCGTTTTGAAATGTACAAGATTCTGAAGAGGCTTGAAAAAATAGACAATTTAAGAGGTTGTTTCCCTTGGCTAGGGAATTTTTGAATATGGGGATGTAGACTCAAAATAAAGAGTCAGTTAATTTAGATTTGAAATGAAAATATTCTTCACTCAGTGGCTTCTCTACTCCAGTTGGATTGCGGATACCATATTGTTGAACATATTTAAGGCTGAGATAGACATACATATGGTGTCTCAGAGAATGAAGGGGTATGAGGAGCAGGCAGGACAATGAGTTTGGAACTGAAAGCCAGTTATTATTGTATTGAACAGCAGAACAAACTCGATAGGCTATAAGGTCTTGTCCTGTTCCTACTTGTGGTGTTCTATGCTACACACTGCTACTGTGATGTGCTGGTGGTGCAGAGACTAAATGTTTAAGGAGTTCCATTCAAACAGGACTGCTTTGTCCTGGATGATGTCGAGTATTCCTCCCACAGTCCAAAGATGCACATGTTAGATGGATTGGCGATGCTAAATTGTCTCTGGTGTCCAGGCCTCTGCAGGATAGGCAGATTAGCCATAGTAAATGTGGGGCTGTTGGGATAGGATGGGAATTGCATCTAGGTGGGATGCTCTTCAGAGGTCTGTGCAGGCTTGATGGGCCAAAGGGCCTCTTTTGTCACTGTCGAGATAATGTGAAATTCTAAAAGAAAAATCCTGTACAAGTTACAGGCTTAGGAGAGACAACTGCGTGCGAGTAACCAAATTTTTAATAATTTAAAATTGCTTTTAAAACCTTAACAGAATCACTTGCTTGTTATGCCTGATTACAGTAATCAGTTCCTTTTTAAATTAAAAATTAAATTGCAAAGCTATTACATATCCATTTTTGTACTTTCATGCAAGGAATGGCTTACATATTAGAACATCTACTCTTTTAAATGTACAGTACAGTTAGTGAAAATATGCCAGTGCCAATTTTGTGGCTGTGACTAGAATTTAGCACAATTTTTAAACCTAACACAAAAGGTCATTGAAACTTGATTTGCGCAGAACATAATTTGCACTTAAATGCCCATGATGTTTAATGCTAGCCTGGGTTTGATTTGAGATGATTCTCACCAGAAAGTATAATACAATCCATGCTGGCGCCCTATTTTAAATTCTTAACTTCAAACTTATTTGTGATACAGACTTTTCAGAACTTGGCAGTGCTTTATAAGAATTTTGTTTTCCTGTTTTTCTCCAATGTAAGATATGTATTGCGGTAACTAGTGACCTCCTATCTAAGTCCTTCTCATTTTGACCACTCATTCCTCAAAAGAATTTGGTGTTTTAACCGTATTTATTGTGTGTCGATGTAGGCAATGGGATATCTACCAGTGCATTCGATGGATGATTAGTTGCACTTTATGACTTGTGTATTTTTAAAAATCTTGTCCAAATGAGCAAAACCTTCTAACTTTTCACAATTGTGAAGAACAGTTTCCTCAGTGGTTTTCATTGATATACCGGATTGTTTTGGGATAGATTCACTTAAGCCAGGCTGTGGAATGCCTGATTGTTAGCTAGTTTATAAACTTCTAAATATTTTAAGTATCAGTAGAAATTGGTAATTGTATTTAGTTGAATCTGTTCAGCTGACAGAGAAAGTTTTGGGGAGTCAGATGAAACATTTCTAGCGTCTCCTCTAGCATTTCCTTCGATTGGAAAACATTGTTACAGGCATTTCTAATGTACTTTGCGCAGCTCTGTAGGTCAGTTTAAATACTTTCTTTCAAGTTTGTCTGTGATTTAAAAACCTCATTAACGCAATTTCTTGTCTAAGTGAGAATCCAAAATGACTCAAATCATTTCCCAAAGGTTATTTTCAGTTATGATTTCTTTTATTTGTGGTGTCAGTTATGGTTACTGCTTGTTCTCTTCCCTGTTTATACCTGACACTTAATTTACCTATTCAATTTATTGTTGTTTGCTTTATGTGGAAATTGAGTTAATCAATTGCAAATGACATACGAACTTTACGGAACTTTACCAGTGGACAGGCAAAATATATTTCATTTTCTCAATTTATTAGAGGTTATGCCATAATTTTTTTTATCAGATTTGGAAGAATTTTCATCTATCTCTACTTGAGAATTGCTGAAATTACTTCATGATGTTGTAGTATTCCAACTTTTGATAATTTATGTTGGATTAATCTTGGCTTGAATGTGATATCCACATTTCATAATGGGGAAATGTTTTGGTCGTATTTGTACAAACTTAACGTTTACCAGCTGGAGTATTTTCTATCAATTTGAATACGTAGCTGTAATGACACCGCATTATGTATTGTTACAACCATGTAATTTGTTATATTAAAGCTATTTCATTGAGATTTGCAGAAATAAAATCACAGCCACTGCTATTTTTATAATTGACATGTATATGAGAGAGAAAGGATTGACAAGATTAATTACTTAATGTTTTCCCCATTTCTACAGGATTGTTGCCTGTGTAATTTGAGGGGTGGTGCACTTAAGCAGACTACTGATAAAAGGTAAGCTAAAGCTACAGTATTGTAAGACTTTTTTTCTTATTGATTGAACTAATTCAACATTTATTCTAAATTTGTTTCATAAAAAGACTTGAAGCCATTCTGTAGTTAAAGTGCAATCAAAGTTTGAAATAGAATATTTTCACACTCGTTGTGTCCCTTGGGCTATTTTGGAGCAGATATGGAGTTGTTCAAAATAATTAACGATCTTTTCAATTGCACCAGCCTGCTATTGACGAAACCTGCATACTTGGCTAGTGTGTACATGAGGTCAATCAAGTCCCAAAGTCTCTTAATATTTTCTTGCTTGGAACTAAGGAAACAACAACACGTGTGCATACAATGAGATTTAAATTTCTTACCGTTTCAAAATTGTAACTTCATCTTTATGATTAGCTTTGAAAGATAACTTGTACCATTTACTTTATTGCATGAAATTTGTTGAAAGGCGAGCAGTTGCTAAGTGCCGCACCGGAGATCATAAGAAATAGAAGCAGTAATAAGCCATCTTGCCCAGTAAGACCATGACTATCTGATTGTGCACTTAATTGCGCTTTGCTATCAGTTCCTCCATAACCCTCCACTATTGTCAGATAAGAATTTGTTCATCTTAGCCTTGAATATGTTCAGTGACCCAAGCTTCACTACTCACTGAAGAACAGCATTCTACAGGTAATGACTCTCTGGGCAAAAAGATTTTCCTCATCGATGACCCTATATTGTTACAACTATTTACCATTGTTTTTGATACCTTATGTTTTAATAAGATCACCTTTTGTTCTTCTAAACTCCAAGGAGTATGAGTTCACTTTTCTTCAGAAGAGAAGTCCTTAATTCCATATTTAGGCTGGTGAACCTTCTTTCAACAGCATCCAGTGCAAGTTTATCCTTCCTTAAGTAAGGAGACAAAATCTACACAGTACATCAAGTATGGTTTTACCAATGCCAGGAGTTGTCGTAACAAGACTTCCATAATATTATACTCCATATTTAAGAGCAGATCAGGCCTGGGAATTCTGTGGCAGGTCACTCACCTCCTGTACTCCCAAGGCATGTCCACTTTTTAGAAAGACGCAGGTTGGCAGTATGATGGAATACTCTCCATCTGTCTGGATTGGTGAAGTTCCAACAAAACTTAATAAAGCTCAGCATCATCTATTACAAAGCAGCACCAGATCTGTCATCTTCCATATTTACTCCCTTCCCATCAGTACACCACAGCAGCAGAACTAGTTAACCAGGTGAAGTATTTTCTCCCTCCATGACTGGCATATAGTAACAACAGTGTACACCATCTACAAGATGCACTGCGGTATCTTGTAAGATTTCCATTGACAGCATTCTCTATTTGTTTGAGCTCTACCACCTAGAAGGACAAGGGGAGCAGTTGCATGAAAATATCATTACCTGGAAGTTGAGTCAAAATCCTGGAACTATTTTGCTAATAGCACTGTGTGTCCCCCTACATACCCAAAGATGGCAGTTTCAAGAAAGCAGCTCTCCAACATCTTCACCAGGGAATGTTAATAGAATCATACAGGCATAGAGATATACAACACGGAAACAGACCCTTTAGTCCCACTCGGCCATGTCGACCAGGTATCCTAAATAAGTCTAATCCTATTTGCCAGCATTTCGCCCATATCCTCTAAACCCATCCAATTCATACACCCATCCAGATGCCTTTTAAATGTTGTAATTGTACCAGCCTCCACCACTTCCTCTGGCAGCTCATTCCATACACGCACCACCCTCTGCGTGGAAAAAGTTGCCTGTTGGATCCCTTTTCAGTCTTTTCCCTCTCACCTTAAACTTTTGCCCTCTAGTTTTGGACTCCCCCACCCCAGGAAAAGACCTTGTCTGTTTACCCAATCTGTGCCCCTCATGATTTTATAAACCTGTATAAGGTCACCCCTCAGCCTCTGACACTCCAGGGAAAATAGCCCCAGTCTGTTCAGCCTCTCCCTATAGCTCAAACCCTCCAACCCTGGCAACATGCTTGTAAATCTTTTCTGAACCCTTTCAAGTTTCATGACATCCTTCCTATAGCGGACAGACCAGAATTGTACACAGTATTCCAAAAGTGGCCTAACCAATGTCCTATACAGCTGCAACATGACCTCCCAACCCCTATACTCAATGCACTCACCAATAAAGGCAAGCATACCAAACACCGCCTTCACTATTCTGTCGACCTGTGACTTCACTTTCAAGGACCAATGAACCTGCACTCGAAGATCTCTTTGTTCAGCAACTCTCCCCAGGACCTTACCATTAAATGTATAAGTCCTGCCCTGATTTGTCTTTCCAAAATGCAACACCACACATTTATTTAAATTAAACTCCTTCTGCCACTCCTTGGCCCATTGGCCCATCTGATCAAAACCCTGTTGTACTCTGATGCAGCCTCCTTTGCTGTCCACCACACCTCTAATTTTGGTGTCATCTGCAAACATACTAATCATATCTCCTACGTTTACATTCAAATCATTTATATAAATGACAAAAAGCAGTGGAACCAGCATTGATCCTTGTGGAACACCACTAGTCACAGGCCTCCAGTCTGAAATGCAACCCTCACCACCGCCCCTTGTCTTCTACCTTCAAGCCGGTTCTGTATCCAAATAGCTAATTCTCCCTCTATTCCGTGTGATCTAACCTTGCTGACCAGTCTACCATGAGGAACCTTGTCGAAAGCCTTACTGAAGTCCATATAGGTGATGTCCACTGCTCTGCCCTCATCAATCCTCTTTTTGTTATTGCTTCAAAAATCTCAATCACGTTCGTGAGACGTGATTTCCCACGCATAAAGCATGTTGACCATTCCTCGTCAGTCCTTGCCTTTCTAAATACATGTAAATCCTGTCCCTCAGGATTCCCTCCAACAACTTACCCACCACCAGTGTCAGGCTCACCAGTCTATCGCTCCCTGGCTTTTCCTTAACACCTTTCTTAAATAATGGCACCATGTTAGCCAACTTCCAGTCTTCTTGCGCCTCACCTGTGGCTGTCGATGATATAAATATCTCAGCAAGGGCCAGCAAACTCTTCCCTTGCTTCCCACAGGGTTCTAGGGTATACCTGATAAGTTCCTGGGGAAATATCCACCTTTATGCATTTTAAGACATTCAGCACCTAATCTTCTGTGATATGGACGTTTTTCAAGATGTCACTATTTATTTCCCCATGTTCTCTATCTTCCATATCTTTCTCCATAGTAAAAACTAATGCACAATACTCGTTTAACATCTCCCCCATCTCTTGCAGTTCTACAAAATAGGTGGCCTTGCTGATTTAAGGAACCTCTTCTCTGCCTAGTTATCCTTTTGTCCTTAATATATCTGTAGAATCCCTTTGGATTCTCCTTAATCGCATTTGCCAAAGCTATCTCATCCCCTTTTTGCCCTTCTGATTTCCCTCTTAAGTATGCGCCTACTGCTTTTATGCTCTTATAATCAATCACTCGATTTCTGCTGTCTGTTATAAAGCAGAGGTTGACCCCTCTGAGAACTAAAATTGAAACACCCAAAGAGAAGCATCTCGCCCTGTACTCTGTAAAAGGAGTGTGAAAAGTGGTGTAACTTGTCTTCCAGCAACTTCTAGTTGTGAATTAAAATAAATCCTTGACAGTTACTTTAAGATCAACAATTTATTTATTTAACTCTAACAGTGAAGAAATTAACTAAACTATTAACAAATGGAATAAATCCTTTATAACTACTAACTACTCTTGAATAAAGCAAGATTCTAATGGTATGCTGTTCCAATAAATAGAAGTCCCACTGATATGAAAAAAATAGAGTTTACTCTTGAAATTACAACTAGTTATATGTCTTCCAGAATGTTCTGTGCCTTCGGCGGCACAGTGGTTAGCACTGCTGCCTCACAGCACCAGGGATCCGGGTTCAATTCCAGCCTCGGGCGACTGTCTGTGTAGAGTTTGCACGTTTTCCCCATGTCTGCGTGGGTTTCCTCCCACAGTCCAAAGATGTGTAGGTTAGGTGATTGCCCGTGCTAAATTGCCCGTTGTGTTCAGGGAGGTGTAGATTAGGTAGGTTATAGGGGGATGGGTCTGGGTGGGATGCTCCGAGGTTCGGTGTGGACTTGTTGGGCCGAAGGGCCTGTTTCCACACTGTAGGGATTCTATGATTCTCCATCAGTTTTTCTGTCGGAAATGTATTCTCTGTTGATTCTTTTGTCGGGAATATTAACTAGTTGTGCCGTTGGTACTGTTGTTATTTAGATGGTGCTTTCTCTAAGACATAGAGGAGGCTGTGAGAGCCAGCGATTCTTTCTTGAGAGCTGAGTCATTTTCTTAGGCATATGACAGCTAGCTCTGGGGTCTTTTTCCAATTGCCCCCTTCTTTTATACCCTTGATGGTAGATCAGTATTTCTTACAATAAGATTGTTCATATATTGTCAAAACCATCAGACTTAAACTTAATAGGTTTTTAGTATTGAAGCACCTGTTTCAAACTGATTGGCTAAATTTAAAAGCCTGTTGCCTCGGTAAAAATGCTGCTGCTTGGCCTGCTAACTGTATAGCCTTTCAATACAAATGTTTCAATTTGGGTGTTCTCCGTGTACTTGCAAACTTTGAAGTTTTCAACCATTTTATGGCCATCCCTTTACCTGCCAACATCTGCGCTCCCCCAATCAACTTTTGCAAGTTCTTGCCTAATACCATGAAAATTGTCCTTCTAATTTAGAACATATAACATAGAACAGTACAGGCCCTTCGGCCCACGATGTTGTGCCGACCTATTATCCTACTTAGATCAAACTACCTTGCATACCGTACATTTTACTATCTTCCATCCAAGAGTCGCTTAAAAGTCTCTAAAGTATCTGACTCCACTACCACTGCCGGCAGCGCATTCCACACGCTCACCACTCTCTGTGTGAAGAACCTACCTCTGACATCTCGCCTATACCTTCCTCTAGTCACCTTAAAATTATGCCCCCTCGTAATAGTCAATTCTGCCCTGGTAAAAAGTCTCTG